TAGAGGTTAAATTCCTGAAGGGAGCCAATAATGTCATACAGTGTAAGGTCTATGGATTAAAGAAAAGCAGGAAAGTTGGGGGGTGGAGAGAGATGTTAGGATTGTAAATAGGGTGTCGAAATAAACCTCTGTGAGAATATGATGTTTGAGCTTCCTGAAGGACATGAGAGTGAACCATGCAGAAATACTAGGTTAGAGAGATCTAGAGAAATGGAATAGCTAATGCAAAGGTCCTGAGGCAGGAGTGTTCTTGGCATGTATGAGGAACAGTGAGAATACCAGTACACTGGAGCAGAGTGAGCAACAAGGAGAGTGATGAGGTGGAGGTGGGGTCAGAGAGGTGGCGGGGACATGGAGAGGACTTGGACTTCTACTCTGAATGAGGGAGAAGCCACAAGAGATTTGTGAGCAGAGAAGGGATATGATTTGTCTTAGGATTTAATGCAGAGGTTCTCAACCTGTGGGTCGCGACCCCTTTGGGGGTCGAACGACCCTTTCACAGGGGTCGCCTAAGACCATCGGAAAACACATATATAATTACATATTGTTTTTGTGATTAATCACTATGCTTTAATTATGTTCAATTTGTAACAATGAAATTAGAGTCACTACAACATGAGGAACTGTATTAAAGGGTCGCGGCATTAGGAAGGTTGAGAACCACTGATTTAATGGGATCCCTCTGGCTGGCAAGTGTAGAACAGACTGTAGGAGTGAGGGTGGAAGCAGGGTACCAATGAAAGTGAGAGCACTTCAATAGCCTAGGTGGCTGATGATGGTGCTGGCAGTAGAAGGAGTAAGTGGTGGTCAGATTCCAGTTGTAATTTTAAAGTAAAGCTGAGAGGTTTGTTTGTGGGTGTGAGAGAGAAAGGAGTCAAAGATGACTTTAAAGGTGGATGGATCAGACCAAGGCGGGAGCATGTTGGAGGTCTAAGAGCATAAGTTTGGTTTGGGCATCTGGAGTTTGAGGTACCCATTAGACATCTGAGTGGCCACTTTGCTTGGAACTCAAGGGAGAGATCATAGAGCTGGAGGCATGCATTCGTGCGGCCTTAGCCATGAGATGGACTTATGGTAGTCATGAGGTTCCAAGGGAGTGAAGGGAGACAGAGGCAAGAGGACCAAGGTGTGAGACTGAGGACCCTCCCACATTTAAGGGCCACTTAGTTGAAGAACTAAAAGAAGAACAGAGAAGGAGAAGCCAATAGGTTTCCTTTTGGTAAGAGGAAACCCAGGACAGTGTGATGTCCTGGAAGCCAAGGGAACACAGTGTTTCCAGGAAGTCATTAGCTATGTCCAGTGCTACTGATGGGTCAAGTTGGATGAGAACTGAGACCTGAACAATTACTTTAACAGTGTGAACGTCATCAATGACCCTGACAGGAACAGCTTTAGAGGAAGGGCAGGGAAGGCTGACTGGAGTGGGGTCTAGAGAGACTGGGAGGAGGGGAAGTGGAAACAATAAGTGCACACAGCTCTTTTGAGGAATTTTGCTGTAAGGGAAGGAGAAAAGTAGAAGCAGTAGCAGGAAGGAAAAGTGGGGTCAAGACATGAGCGAACTCTTGACATGTTTGGGAGGTGACAGGAATGATCCAGCCCATAGGAAGAAGAGATGGAGGGAGTCAGTAGACATTTCCTTCTGATGATTTTAATTTTCTCAGAGAAGTAGGGACCCACCATCCCACTGCATTCCAATCACCCCTCGTCTCAGTTGTTTTCTCCCATCCCCCATGTCCTCCCAGGTATACCAATTTTTCAGCTGCCTCCCAGAGGACAAGGTCCCCTACGTCAACAGTCCCGGGGAAAAATACAGGATCAAGCAGCTGCTGCACCAGCTTCCCCCACACGACAGTGAGGTGAGGAGAGAGAAGACAGGAAGGGCATGTCAGGTAGGGGGCACAGCCTGGGCAAATGCCTCACAGCTGGAAAGAAATGGGCAGGATCAGAGGTGAGCTGATCTGAGATGAAAGGTCTGAAGGGCAGGGGACATTCCTTGGCAAAACCACTCGTGGGACTTGGGAGAGATCAGGGATGGGTATTTCAGGCAGGAAGCACCATCTATACAGAGGCATTGAAGTAAACTTTTTGAGCATGGAGGAAATTTGAAAGAGGGTTGAGGGGCAGACAACTGGGGAGGCGCCTGTTTGACCCTCACTACCTCAGGCACAGTACTGCACGGCACTGGTAGAGGAAGAGAAGAAAGAGCTCAGAGCCTTCAGCCAGCAGCGGAAACGGGAGAACCTGGGGCGTGGTACTGTGCGCATCTTCCCAGTGACCATCACTGGGGCCATCTGTGAGGAGGTGAGCCATGAAAGGCCTCGGGGGGTGAGTGGTGCCTTTGCTCCAAGCCCTGGGTTGCAGGACCCAAGTCCCTATCCCACTGTTAGGCAGGGACCGCCTCTAAGGCCTTCCTGACCAGCGATGTCTGTGTGTAGGGCTCCCTGGTAGATGGGACTTGTTCCTCAGATCCCTCTGTTGGGTTGGGTCTGTCTCTAAGGAGGCCCCAATGGACCTTCTCTATTAGTTTCCTGCCCTCCACACGGTGGATGTGGGGCTCTCTGTCTGGTCCTCTTGTGGTGGAGACTTGTCCTTAAGAACCCACCCACAGTGGCAGGGCCTGTCTCTAGAGCCAGGTGGTGGGTGGGATTTATCTCTAAAGCACCCTCCCCTCCGTGGTTGGAGCCTGACCTTACATCCTACTGTTAGGTGAGGTCTGTTGCTAAGGTTCCCCCTGGGCCTGGCCTGGCTCTATGGTTTCAAGACCTCCTTTCAGGCCACCCACGATGAGTAGGGCCTGTCTCTAAGGTTTCCCACAGACACAGGGTCAGTTTCTAAGGCACTTTCCTCCCCCCATGTAGGCAGGGCCTGTCTCAAAGTTACCCTGTGGGTAAGGCCAGTCACAAAGGTCTGCCATGGGGAAGGCCCTAGTATGATACACACCTTGGCTGATCCCCCATCTAACCATGTTGGCGAGGGTAACCGTGCCTATCTGTCATCTGGCAGTGCGGGAAGCAGATCGGAGGTGGAGACATCGCGGTGTTTGCCAGCCGAGCAGGCCTGGGTGCCTGCTGGCACCCTCAGTGCTTTGTGTGCTCCACCTGCCGGGAGCTGCTGGTGGACCTCATCTACTTCTACCATGCTGGCAAGGTCTACTGTGGTCGCCACCATGCCGAACGCCTGCGTCCGCGCTGCCAAGCCTGTGATGAGGTGATGCCTTACTGCCCAGGGGAGGGAGCGGAGGGCGAGCAGGGCCAGGGAAGGCCCTGCTGACGGCCACAGATGTCCTGCATTCCCCAGATCATCTTCTCCCCTGAGTGCACGGAGGCTGAGGGCCGGCACTGGCATATGGGTCACTTCTGCTGCTTCGAGTGCGAAGCATCCCTAGGAGGGCAGCGCTACGTCATGCGCCAGAGCCGTCCCCACTGCTGCGCCTGCTACGAGGCCCGCCATGCGGAGTACTGTGACGGCTGTGGGGAGCACATCGGTGGGTGAACATGGCATTGGGCAGGGGGATGGATTAACATCTCGGCCACAACCCCCTGCCCCCTCCATTCTTTCTGTCCTCCAGGCCCTGCCACCATTATCCCCATACTTTCAGTCTAGCCCAAGCACCATAGCCCTATACCTTTCACTGCAGGTCCCATCACTGGTATCCCCCATCCGGCCATACTTTCTAAACCTTCCTACACAGTACTAGGCACCACTACACATTTGGGCCCACCTCCGGAGTGCCCTCTAATTCCCAGTACCCCAGGACTACCCTGTTGGCCTAGCTCCTATGCTCCTAAGCTGTACCCTATTCTCTAAGACTCTCTATCAACCTAGCTCAGTGATTTTCAACTCGTGTGCGGCAAGAGTTTTTAAAAGCATGCAATGCCTAACTAATTAGTTAGGGGCACTGACCTCTTTTCCCTTAGTTTGTCCAAAAAAAAAAAAAAGGACAACAGCCAACACAGCAATAGCCGTCTGGTGTGAATGAATCAAAATTATACCTATTTTTTGTCAGATCAGCAAAAAATATATGTTTGGTGTGCTGCAGAAGTTTAGTAATTAGTTTTTGTGTGCCATGAGATGAAAAAGGTTGAAAATCGCTGGCCTAGGTACATCATACTTTCTACCACACCCTGCTCTCTAAGATTCACTTCTTTCCCACCAAGGCCACGCCCTACCACGCCCTGTCCGCACCACCCAGGCCTCTTTAAATCCACTGTCCTTCCATCTGAAGTCACCTTACTGTCTAAGCCTGACCCACAGCTTAGAGTCCAGTGCCCAGTTCCCACTCTGGGAGGGAGGACCCTGGGAAAGAAAGAGTAGGGGAGAAGGAGATGTTAATCAGCCAGTTTGAGGTACCCTGGGGTGAGGACCAAACCTCGGATTTCCTGCTTTCTCCAAAGAAGGGCGCCATTTTGGAGAGGTGGGGGGTAGGAGGAGTCTTGGGGTACTCCGCTTCAGATTCCTGCTCTCTTCAGAAGGGCCCCATTTGAGCAGGGTGGGACATGCTGGGGGGCTCTGTCTTAGTTTCCCCCTTCACGGTGTCCCCGCAGGCCTGGACCAGGGCCAGATGGCTTATGAGGGCCAGCATTGGCACGCCTCAGACCGCTGCTTCTGCTGTAGTCGCTGCGGGCAAGCCCTGCTGGGTCACCCCTTTCTGCCACGCCGGGGCCTAATCTTCTGCTCTCGAGCCTGCAGCCTGGGGTCCGAGCCCAGGGCCTCCGGGCCTGGCCGCCGCAGCTGGAGCGCGGGCACAGTCTCCGCACCGCTCGAAGCCTCCACAGCCTCTTTCTCTGCTGTGGAGGGGCCGTCGGAGATCTCCACCAAAGGCACCAGCACTGAGGTCGAGCCTGGTGAGTTAACCCTGGAGTCCTGCCCAGCCCCTCTGAGTCCCTCCCCTACCAACCCCTGGTCCCTCGGGGGTGACTCGCCCAGTCCCTTCACCTGCTGTACCCCTGGCCCCGCCCCCAAACCATCCCAGGCCTGGGCTGCACCCAAACTACACCTCCTCTTGAACCCTGTCCGCTCCCTTCTATACAAGGCCCTCCCCTACCTCAGCTGGTACCTGCCTCAGCCCAAGTTCCTCCTCCTTTTCTCCAAACCCTGTACCAGGGGTCCTCAAACTACGGGCCCGCGGGCCACATGCAAATACAAATATTGTATTTGTTCCCGTTTTGTTTTTTTACTTCAAAATAAGGTATGTGCAGTGTGCATAGGAATTTGTTCATAGTTTTTTTTAAACTATAGTCCGGCCCTCCAACGGTCTGAGGGACAGTGAACTGGCCCCCTGTTTAAAAAGTTTGAGGACCCCTGCTACCCTCCACCCTATCGAAAACCTAATCTGCTCCAGCCTATGCCACGCCCCTTCCACCAGAAGCCACGCCCCCCTCACCCACCCAGTCCTGCTCCTCCTGCATTCCAACCTCCCTCCCCTCCACTCAGAGCCTGTCCCAGGCCTCCTATTTCCCGGACTCCCCACTTCGCTGCCCTCTCCGACCCCTGCCCCACTTTCCCAGTCCTGATGGAAAGGGGAAAGGAGAAGGCCCTCTGGGAGGAGGCAGATACATACGGGGATTCCCTCCATCTCTCTTTCCAGCTGCGGGCCCCGAGGAGCCCACCCACTTTCTGAGAGGGGCCCCTCACCGCCACTCCATGCCCGAGCTGGGGCTCCGCAGCGCCCCCGAGCCACCCCCAGGGACCCCCGGCCATTTGGACCCTGAAGATGATTCTTTCAGTCGCCAAAGTGCCCCTCGAGTCAGCTTCCGGGAACCTCTGGTGTCCGATGGAGGCCCTCGGCGAACCCTGAGTGCGCCTCCAGCTCAGCGCCGCAGGCCTCGCAGTCCCCCTCCCAGGGCCCCCACACGTCGCCGCCACCATCATCACCGCAGACGCAGGTCTGGCAGACTTCACCATCAATGTAACTTAGGATCGGACTCCGAATCTTGCTCCAGCTCCCCCTCCAGCTCCAGTTCAGAGTCCTCGGAGGATGATGGCTTCTTCCTGGGGGAACGCATCCCACTGCCCCCGCACCTGACCAGGCCCCTGTCTGCTCAGGACACTGCAACAAAGACCCCCAACTCTCCATCTCCAATGGTCCCCGAGAACTCGGGGCCAGGGACGCCTCGCCAGGCCAGAGACAAGAACTGCATAGTGGCTTGAAGGCGAGGCTGTCCTGGAGGGCTCCATTTCTCCACTCTCGAGACTTGAGAATAAATCCCCTTCCTTTCTACCTCCATACTATTGAAGTGTCTTAATATTTGGTGTAAAACAGGCCTGGCTTCTTTACCTCTTTGCTCCAGCTGCTTCCCTTCCCTATTTTCCCCCTCCTGATGCTTGAGATATCCACATTTGATCAAAGGATTAACTTATTCATTACCATATATTCTAACAATCTGTTTATTATTTATTCATATTTATCCCTCCACAGAACCACCTCCCACACTGAGGTTATTTTCAGTGTGTCACAACCTGGGGCCTGGAGTCTGAAGCTGAAGCACCCTTCTCCCTCATTTTGCGGTTTAGGTGGGGGCATAGTTCTGGCAGAACTAGTGTCTGCTTCTAGATACTTCAGTAGGGGAACCTAGGCACACCCATAAAGGTGGCCACACCCAGGAGGGTTGATTGGCAGGCTGGAAGACAAATTCTTCAGATAAAGGCACTTTTACCTCAATAGGAGGCTGGGAGTTGGCTAGGAGTGTTTGTAGGGGTGGGGAGCAGTGATTTCCATGGAAGTTATTTGCAGGTTGCAGAGAGAAATCAAGGGAGTTCACCTACACCGGGCCATCTGTAGGGCCTGCAAGTGAGGAAAAGAGAGAAAGCAGTTTGGATCCATATGCCCACTTTACAAACAAGAATACTGAACCGTATGGTGCTTGTTGGTACTAAAGCCATAAGTAGCAATAAGGGACAGAGCTGGCATTCATGCCCTGGGGGGTCCCCTTTCCTTTTCTCAACCTCCTCAACAACACTCCCGTACACACACACACACTTACTTACCAGTAGGGGCTGCTGTATGTCTTTGCTTCTTCAAGGGGAAAGTGAAATAGGCATCATAGCCAAAGAGGCACGCAGCAATTAGGCCCACCACCTGGAAGTGGGGATGAAAGTGAGGGGCATTGGATTAGACTGGTCAGCCTACTCAGCCTCTTACCTCCATGTATCTACTACCTCCGGTGACTGCCCCATGAAGGGATGGCGACTAAAGCCCCAGGTTGGGAAGACAGAGAGCCCCAGGAAAAGGTCAGGAAACTGAACTCTACCCCAACTCTCCCTTCTCCTAGTACTGCTCAACTCAGGAGAGCCACGTGGTGGCCCCACATATAAGTGGCACCATTCCCAGTGTACATGTGAAACAAAGTTCTAGCAGATGGCAGTCTAGTGTGTTGACAAAGATACTGTGTCAGGCCAGGGATGGCCCTTTACAGCAAATATTGATCTTGGGAGGAAATCAAGGGTCTGGCCAGACTTTCCTGCAGACCCTGAGGACAAGTGTGGCCTGTTGTGGATCATACACTTTCTGCCAGAAGCAGAGACAGAAATGGCCCCTAGATCCTCAAATCTGTGTGTGTGTGTGTGTGTGTGTGTGTGTGTGTGTGTGTGTGTGTCTTTACCCCGGCGATGATTTTGGAGCTGTTATTGTGCTCCACGAGCACAATGATGGAGATGATCAGGTAGAGGATGGCCGCTATGAGGGTTCGGAAGAAATCCTGTAAGGAGTAGAGAGAGCAGGGAAGTCAGCATCCAGAGTTCCCAGGACAATCCCAGGTGCTGAGGCCCCTCCCTAGCCTAGCCACTTCTGTCCCCTTTCTCACACTCCAAGGCCAGTTGATGATCCCTATCCTGGTGTTCAGGTCACACATGTAGATGACATAGAAGACAGCAGCAAGGACCATCTCAACCACTGACAGAGAGACGTATGCTGATGTGGAAGCGATGAAGCAGATCAGAATCACCAGGCACAGTATCTGGAAGGATGACATGAGGAAGGGGACCTCCATCAACTCCCTGGGCTGAGGGGATGGGTTAAAATCAGGGGTCTCTTGGCCCAACCGGCATGGCTCAGTGGTTGAGCATCGACCTATGAACCAGGAGGTCACAGTTTGATTCCCAGTCAGAGCACATGCCCCAGTTGCAGGCTCAATCCCCAGTGTGGAGCGTGCGGGAGGCAGCCAATCAATGATTCTCTCTCATCATTGATGTTTCTATCTCTTTCTCCCTCTCCTTTCCTCTCTGAAATCAATACAAATATATCTTTTAAAAAATCAGGGGTCTCAAACTCAGATTCCTACCAGGACATCTGGGAAGATGACAAATAATCATAGCTAAACACTTACTGTGTGCTCATTGTGTTCCCAACATTGTTCTAAGAGCTGTACAAGTATTAACTCACTTAATCATCCCTACAACCTAATAAGCTGGGTACTGTTATTAGTATCTTTATTTTATAGATGAGAAAAGTTAAACAGATATTAAGTGACTTGCCCAGGGTCACCCAGCTAGGAAGGGTAGAGTTGGGTGCCTCGGTTTCCCCTTTTCCCTTCTAAGATAGGGGCGGCCTGCTGGGAGTGGCCCCGCCAGGTGTTTTGTGAGCAGTGCTGGAGCCAGCCTGGGGCGGGCAGGACGTGCAGTTCCCCAGGCAACCCCTTTGGGAAGCAGTGAGAGTGACACCAGAGGGGCAGGGCTCCGGTTAAAGGCACCGCACCCTTTCACAAGTGACTCAAATGCGGCGTCCACTTTGGGGCGGGGGGCGGGGGAGCAGCTAAGGCCCTCCCGCCCCACCACAGAAGGGCCAGAAAGAACCATTGCTGTATGTCTTTGCTTCTTCAAGGGGAAAGTGAAATAGGCATCATAGCCAATAGATACCAGCTGTCTCTTGACCGATATTTTGCATTGAGTTGATAGAGTAATTTGAGTTAACGAGCTCCTTAACGAGCGACCCTTTCGTTGAGCCCACGGATGAGTCCACGCGGTCTCCCTCCACTGCGCTCCCCATTTACACCATGGACCCCTGGCCTCACCCCGTGGCCCAGCAACTCCCGACCACCTTCTCCAAACCCCACCGACTCGCCCTGCGCCCCTGGTTTCGGGCCTCGGCCACTAACCCACT